ATAGAACGCTATACAATAAGATACAAGCCCTGTTCACTCACTGTGTAAGCCTTATAATCTAGGTCATTGCTTAAGAAAGTTTACTTTCGATAATACATTTCAGCGATATTGTGACACCGCATTTTCATCAATATAGAAAATATTATATTTCAAACACATTTCAAATATACGTAGACACACGTTCATATCAGGGGAAAAATACAAAGTGGTATCATGACTAAAGTTTTGGCATCAGACATTTCTCATGAGTGATACATACTCCTGATAAATATCTGATACCAAGTCTTATATAATAATAATATATAAATAAATTTCCCGTTTCTGTTATGTTTCGGTTTCATGTTGGATAAATGACTTTAAAGACTTGGTATCAGATATTTCTCATGAGTGATACATACTCGTAATAAATATCTGATACCAAGTCTTATATAATAATAATACATAAATAAATTATCCGTTTCTGTAGTAAAATAAGTGCGTTCGCGTGGGTACGAGTTGTTTTAATACGATAATGCGCAAGTGGTACGCTATTCTGATACCCAACGTAGATGTCAGGTGGGTTCCAGGATGTATAATTTTGGTGTAAATAGTCTACATGTATTTTGTACACATTGATGAAAATGCAGTGTAAAACGCATACACATTATCCGATATGAATACATTTGTTTTATTGGATATGAACTCCCAAGAGTAGAGTAAATACGGTTTACTGCTGCGTGCACACACATTTACTTTTTAAATATATATCCTGATGTCTGTATCCAATAAAATTAATGATTTTGTATTTTCATATTACTTGAATAATGTGTATTCGCCTTTTATTAGTAAACTGACAATGATGGTCAAAAGTGGAGAGCTATCTCCGAATTAAATATTATTATGTATCTTGTATACTTGTATAATCAATTTATTATTATTTTGTTACATAATAAATTACTGAAAATAAGAAATAAAACAAAATATAATGTTTACAATACAATACAAATAAAAATTTAATATAAAGGTGATTTAAAATAAATTAATTAATATATAAAATAAGCATGCATCCCCAAGATGCAATTTTGTGTCAGTAATAATTTAATAGCATATATTATATTAATATGTATTTATAACATATTAATTATGATATAAATAATAACCTTGCACTGCTTATGTTATGTTTCATTTATTAAAAATTAATTGGACAACCCTTTTATTAATAACGGTATTTTTTATTATTTATATTTATATTATTATGAATGAGTGAGAATTCAAAAAATAATATTAAAGATACAGGTTTGAATATTCTCAATGTATACATATTCTCAAATATTCTCATATAAGAACATTCTTATATGAGAATATTTGAGAATATATAAAATTAATAAAAACAGTTAACAGTAATTAATACAGTTTAGTTATAAAGCCGTATCGTCTTTAAGAAATTAAGAAGCAAATTAAAAACCGAATCATTTCTCATGAACTGTAGCTCAGTTTATGAGAAATGATTCGGTTTTTAATGTGTTTATAAACATGTGATTTAGTCTGAAAATTAAAATAATATTTTCACTATAATTTTATTTATTGTATGTCGTTGAGTTACATGATACATTTCATTTAGGAATATCTTTTCTAATAAACCCTCTATTATTATGTTTTATAAACTTCCATCTTTGATGTATTTCAGGTACTATATCCTTCCATTACAAGCTTGTATCTATTTTGTGAAATAACTTATTCCATTAAAATAAAAAGGTTGTATTCCAGCTTTGAATAAAGAATGTGTTTTTTTCAGATTACTTTTATTTATATTACGTTACTTAATGGATTTGTATTATATTAGCCATCGTAATCTGATTGCGTAATAATCAACACTAGATTTCCAAACTCTATTAATTGCCTGATGATGCGTCTAGAGGAGAACAGATGTCGCAATGAGGACTTAGATCCAATAATGGTCGGAGTTTGATCACTAGTGGGGAAAGTCGTAACGCTTTCAGTAGCAGTGGTCAGGTTTCCGCACTGAATGTTTATGGTCTCACACATGCTAATGGTAGCGAAATTAAATAATATAATTGAAATCCATTAAGTAACGAAATGGTCTTCAACAAAATGACAACAAATTATTAATTATGTTCATTATGTTTTTCTTTTATATTGTAGATAAAGTTGCAAGTTGTTTCGTTAGTATAAACAGATAAATAATAATTTAAAATTAATATTCGTGTAGCTTCAGTTGATTTGTTTAATAAATAACGCAATGAATTACATAATTATATAAATTAATTATAATTAACACATATAATATTAAACAAGATACATTTTCATGTAACTTTAGTTGATTTGTTTAATAAATAACGCAATTTCTGAATTATATAATCATATAGATTAATTATAATTAATACATGTAATTTCAAATTATAGTTATCAAAATGTTTGCCTAAACAGATATTAACAATACAAAGGTATGCAAGTATGGTATACATACTAAAATTCTATATAATTATATATATACATTAAAGTAAGTTTCGTGCTATCTACATAACATTAGATTATTGCATTTTATGCCAATTATATAAACATGTATATTGTATATTAAAAAATGTAAAATAAAAATCCATAAACATTTTACGCGAAACAATATTTAATAATAAAACATATTATACATTCAATTATTACAATAACAGCGTTATAAAATGTTTAAGGTCCCCGTTTTTAGACATAAACATTCGTTTTATTATTAATATTTTTTTTGTGCCATTTCTCTAATGTTGCCAAGCAACAGAACATTTGAAAATTGCTATTTTTATTACACTTTCACAAAATCAACTGAAAATAGCCCAAGTTACTTTTTTTAACTGGATTGAATGACAACCTGATGGTAAGTGGTACCCTCGCTATGTGTGTGAGAAGTTACACCACCGCAAGTCTTCTTGTGACGTCAGTGGTACCACTCGTACGTTACCACTGATTTCACTGTTACCCATTAACCGAAGCCATTCTAACTAAGTAATAAGGTCTCATTTTGTCTAGCATATTTATATTAAATCGTTTTTTGTGTTTCTTATGTTTGCATTTATAAACAGTTTTATTATTATTATTATTTGGCGCCTGAAATAGATAAGATATACAAGTGATCCAGACATTTTTTACAATATCTACCTCAGTTAACTTACCTGCTTTAAGAAAATTATATGCATTTAAAGTACTCAATTTGTAGAACCGTGGCAATTTGCAATACTTCCTTTTCCTAAATTGGCCCCACCGAAAATCGAACCAGCATCCGTAAATGAGGTCTCACTGGCTTATCTTCACTCTATACATATCTTCTCATGTATATGAATGTATATTCATTCTTTATGCAGTTTATTTTGTGAAAGTGTAATATTCTCATATTGCATCGAATATTCAATTCAAGAAATATTTTTTTTACCTCTATCTAAACCTTAAATATAATATTAGCATTATAAATATCGTATTATATACACGTAAAATAAATATAACACCAAGAATGAAAGAAAGTGCCGATGATATGTGTTACTAGTGATTTTATAATTATGCATCTGTCAAGATATAAAATTATTAACGCTACTGTATTTTTTTTATGTACATACATTAAATTGTTTTTATACGCTCTCTTATATGAATACATTGAAATTGATTTAGTGTATTACACATAACGTGATGAGAAAGATCAAAAACTGGATCATTGTTTATTAAAAAATCAAGTGTGTTCAATAACTTTATTCGAATGATTTTGCTGCATTTATAAATCTGTACAAAAGATTGACATTTTCAGATTTTATACCATCTCTATTGAACAGTAAGGTCGATTGTTCATTGTACTTGTATTATAATTTGAGATTTCTGATTGTTAAAGGCTATTCATAATAAATGAGATAAAGACCTTAGGACTGGAAAATATAAAAATGTTTCATTCGATAACCATTTACATTTGCAGCGCATGTCCAATGAATTAACTCTACCATAATATTGAGAATGCTTTCTATCTAAGACTAACTGTGTCCGCGGTGTCAGTAAATGTCCCAATTTCTAAATCTTTCTATCTGTGTGTAATACATAAAACCTATTCCTCTCTCACTAATGGACAGTAAACTTTACTATGCATAAAACTGGTCATAATGATTATATATAATGATTAAATTTACTACCACTTTAAGTAGAAATTTCATTTATTGTTTCCCTTTAAGTATTATTACATTCATTATTGTTATTGTGTTTCATTAAGTTTTGATTTGTATTTTCATTATCTCTATTTATTTAAGTATCATCGTTAGTACTGTACCTTTTTAATGTTTTATGTATGTATCTATATATGTGAATTTAATGAATTTACCATGTTTCCGCCTTTGCGACAATTATTTTGACTTCATTTAGAGGTCTTCAGGATGTTTTCAGCGCGGAGTACATTAAATTTCCCGAACATAGTTATGAAATATTAGTGCGAAAATACATTTTTTTAATTTTCATACTTTTTACATATCATACTCCTCTCCTTCAGGTTGTTTATAAGAGATGGTTATAGCGATAACGTTTTTTGTTTTACTTTCCTACTTACTGTCTCCATTTTGTTACTTTTCTCTGTGCTCAAGAAAGAGTTTATTATTATATACACATGCTGATTTTATGTAGAATGTGGGCATAGAGAATTTATAATGATACTATGCAACCTTAGCAAGTTCGAATTGATTTATCTATATGACTATTAGACTAGTCATAATAAAATTGTAAATGATTGTAAAATAAATTGATCACATGATATGTAAATGTTATTCATTGTAAAAATATAGAAAAATGGTATGTAAACAACGTGTATATTTCATTATAAACATTTTATCAAGAACAACAACATATTTGAATTAATGAAATAGAATACGATAATGATATGTTTTGAAATTTAGTTATCATTATGACTACCACCAATCATTATTTATATTTATACCAATTTAAGAGAAACATTCAAAACTATTATAGTTGTAAACAATGAATTACTGGAACAATAGTAATTTCTACTTAAAGCGGTGAATGTTGCTTACATTCAATTCACTAGTTTGTGATAGGCAACTATTATTAACGTTATATGTGTAAAATAAGTGCTTTAAACACTTGTTACTACCTTATATCTATCACGGCCTTCAAATGCTGATCTTTCCTATAAGACGAAATTATCGAATATATTATAATCCTTTAATAAATCATAGCATTGCTAATTCAAGGCATTTCTCGCACATGTCCACGTAACTTGTGAAGTTATTACATTTGCAAATTATACACTTAATTAAAATTAGAACAATATTTCAAATATCTTACAGAAGAATGTTATGATAGCTCGCATTTCTTGCATATATTTATTTGTTATCACCAATTCTTTACAAAGTTTTGGAAGGTCTTATCTTACTTGTAGTAGTTGGTATTTATTTAGTTCTAATAGAAACTGAAATTCCAATTTTTCAAATACATACTCAGACAAGTTATAGTATGGTGATGACCATAATACTTTTTTTTTAATATATTTGAAATACTGAACTAATTTGCCTTATAAACCTTTCATAACATGTTAGAACATTCCAGTATACTTCGCTTAAGGAGAAAAACATCGAATGATCATGAGATTTGAAATCATTCTTAGTACTTACTATTGGTCTCATTGACATTATGTTTAATTTTGCAGTAGCGTTAATTTTTAATTAATAATACATTAGAAGTTATTGTTATGTAGAAGCTGAAGATTTTCTCTTCTCTGCTTTGTTTTCACGCATTTTGTTCTCATCAAGCGATTCGATTTTATGATCTCGTAACAACGGAGTCCTGGCATCTGTTTTCTCTTCATTCTTATCTATATAAATTTCATTTTTATAATTGTTCACTCTCACTGTATTATCGCTTTCCATGGATTCCTGTCGGCTAGTATTTCTGCTATTTTTATCGTTATCCCTTTTTTTGTCTTCAGTTTTCTCAGCGTGGAACGCCATGTTGTCAAAACATTGCGCTGGCACAATGTTAACCGATTTCATCATTGGTAACGCTATAGCTAGAGCCGGACTCATATCGCGAGGGTTAGGAGAGAGACGAGTAGTTACTGACAAGTCCATCCCTGGCATCAAGGTGGCAACTGGTAAGAAATAAGTAGATGTAAATATTTGTGACAGTGATAACACAAATACAATTAAGTTAAATGTCATGCATTAGCATGCTTATTTTATTAATGTTCAAAATTTAAGAAGTGTTACACTGAATTATTTAATTTTATTTATTAATACAGTAACTAACAAAATATTTTACATTATAATTTTAGAATAACATTTAAAACAACACAAGTGGTATATAAAACACCAAGGACAGGACAATAAGACAATTAGTACATTACAGACAAAAAAAAATAAAACACCAAATAGTGCATATAGGACACTTCGCAATATTAAGTTCGGAAACTTAACTTTCCTCCAGAGCGATGAATTTCTGTTTTTTACTTCAATTTCTAAATTCATTTTGTAATTAATTTCGCTGAGTGGAAGAAAATTAAATCGTTTATTATTAATGGAGTAAAAGCTTTATTAAAGTATACGTCAATACTGCATTTTATTTAGTGAGAAGTGTTAGTGTTATACGTAAGGATTTCTATAATGTGTACCGCTGTGTTTGGTTGTGGTTTCAATGCTGCAATTGGTATATTGTTTAGACGTGTAGCTGATATATGGTGATGGTTGCCTGAAAAAATATACTTATGGTAACAAATATTTATGAACTTAAATCTCGTAATCGAACTCACTAGTGACTAAACTAAATTAAACAAGAAATTGGCCACAATTCACAATGACGAATTATTGTACACAAAATAAGTTTACGATTTAAAATACCATTAATCTATGGAGATCTACGACAACACCGACAATGAAGGAGCAAGCAGCCAAGCAGCTAAACTATCTCGACATGGGAATTCACACAACATTCTCAAAAATCTCCAACCTTCTCCTTGCGCCGAAGCAATAGGACCTAAATGTGTCTCCGTTGTGCTGCTTGAAGATATTGCCAGTTTGTGCAATGATGATGATGATACAATGATATCGATGATTGGTTAGTGATGACTAAAGATTTGGTAGCATTCCTGTAAGCTAAGTCCGTGTGTGCAGGCGATATAGAAAGCCCGTTCGGAGACCCAACGACGCCAGTACTGTGTTTTGCTTTCTAAAGCATGTTTAAATTCTTTCTTTTGCAGTTGTTTGGTGTTGTTTGGATCATAGCTTCAAGCTCGCTACGATCACCATCTGTGGAGGATTACATTGCATAAGCTACAGTTAGTTGAGTGAGTAGCTCGTTTACATTAATATTAATTTTTGTGTGAATATTGTTAGTCAAAAAAAATTATAACTGTAATATTTCTATGTTTGCTGAATTATTTTTTGTACTTACAATATTCAGTTTAGATTATATTTTAAACGCATGATCACTAATATTATTATTTTTAGTCACTTGTTATTTATATGAGTGTAGTTATTTAGATATTATTCACATAAAGTGAAATACTGTGATAAGATTCTGTATTTTGTGAGAAAATTGCCAATTTGCTCTAACACATTTATTTTGTTTGTATATTTAATTTATATTTTCTACGTTGTGATTTATTACACTTAATGTGCTTTTAACTACTTGTGAGCTATCAAAACTTAAAGACCAATGCTAGCCTACGCATATTTACGCTTATAGAAAATTTCCCTTAACTTATATAATACAAGAGTCAGAAAAACTATGACAGTTTTCTAAAACTTCATAGTTTTATGAAAAATTAGAATAGACACGTTTGGATACAGTTAATATTTGCTTGTAAATGGTCTTACCCATGTTAGGTCCCATCATATCTTTGGGATGATTAGTTTTAATAGCGTTCATTCTACGATTGACCGCTTGGGCTCCCATACCGGGTGCCATGGGTCCTCCTCCTCCAGGAGCACCAGGAACTCCTGGAGCACCTATTCCAAAAATTATAGAACATGATCGTAACTGATCTGAGATTGTCAATAAATCATTATCAGACAAACAAACACATATTAGTTGTCAGTTAATATTAGTAAGTTAATAGCATATTGAAAGACAACAAAGGTATTAGAAATGAAATAATGATAAATGTTACTTCATAAGTGAACGCAATACCTTTAGCAATCACGTACCTAGTAATTTGAAAATATAATGACAATTACTAACATCTATAAATCTTAATTTATAAATATGTACAGTTTACTGCTGCACAAAAGTAAGTTGGGTATAGAATCAAGAATTTCAAATAAATGAATTGTTGCTGAGTTACAATGGTACTTCTTTATACAAAGATCTTCCGAACCTTCTTGCTTATTAATATCGTTATTTATTTTTATTTCTGGCTCATTTTCCTAAATTATACTCTATTTTATAGTCAAGATCTTTGTAATAAGTGTATCATTGAAAAGGACTTACGCATCGGTGGCCTCGCTGGTTCGACGTTTATGACTCTTCGCCTCTTCTTGGGCAATTTTGCCCTCGCTTGCGTGTGTGAATAGTACATCGCAAAGTTGGATACTATGACCGGCACTGGCAGAGCTATCGTCAGCACCTGTTCAATGCAAAATGTTATTAATATTGAGAAAATAATGTCAAAGTACAATAAAATTAGTCAGAGTATAACATGAAGAATCTGTGTAGCTTAGGAATTAGTTTAGACATATAAACTCCAAATTCTATCGAGGGCTCACAATTAATAGTAGAAGTATTATTACCAACATTTTTTGTCTTTTTTCTAGGTTCTTATATAATATTATTACCAAAATAAGAAATACTTAATCACAATTATTTAATAAGAAATACAGTTAATCATCTTTATGATTGGCTTTAAATATGTTTAGATGAAATATTAATTAAAATTTATGAATAATTTTTTTACACAAGATATATTTAATCATTTATACAAGTAAAGTTTTTATGTATTAATATTATTATCCCCATCGAACTGCAGTTGTTATCATCATATTTTTATATTGTTTTTAAAGAAAATACATTATAGGCTGATTAAAAAATCTAAACAATAAATAAATAGAAAGATATAATGCAATCATTTGTATTGAAAAATTTAACTACATTTCTCTAAAACACAATTTATAGATTAACCTAGATTCCCTATGTAGGTTCATCAATAAATTGTATTTTGGTTTTTTTTTGCCAGTTTACCTACCCTCTTTACTGTTTGTATGTTTTTATATAATTGTTTTAAAAGATACTGTATTTGTATTAACCTTTTTAGGTCAATAAAATTTTATTTTATTTTTTGTTCAAATATCTATTATTGATATATTGATATTCACAGTTCTTAATGCAAAGTTTATTATGAAATTTCGAACGAATGTACTTAAAAATTACTAGAAGCCCATAATGCTATTTGCCTTAATTAACTCTATTCTTATACGATCAATGTTTATAATCATTTGACTTGGTAATAATATGAGAATCCTAAATAAACATTTTGTTTTCACAGTATTACTTATAAAGTTGTAAACAATATACTAACTTCTAAGTAGATAAGCGTTTACAACTTTATAACTTCCTAGATGTTCTCACTATATTAAGAAATGGTTAAGGAATTTTTTATTTTCAGTTTTATTTTCGTGACCGACGTGCTTATTTTGAATGCAATATTTTTTTTTGAAAAAACCATTAGTTTTTTAGAAAGTGTATATTAATGTTTCTTAGGGGTCGGCAATGCGCACGTGACACCTCTAAAGTATTAGGCGTCTATAGATTACAGTAACCATTTACCATCAGATGGGTCGTATTGTTTGTCACATTGGTGGTATTTAAAAAAAATCTAAATTAATAATTTAGATTTTTTTTTAATTCTAAATTAATTAAATTAGATCTAAATTAAATTATATAAAATACACTTGAGGTATATATATATATTCACTCATTACTCTATGTATATAATTCAAAGGTGACTGACTGACATAGTGATCTATCAACGCGCAGCCCAAATCACTGGAAGGATCGGGCTGAAATATGGCATGCAGGTAGATGTTATGACGTAGGCATCCGCTAAGAAAGAATTTTGATTACTTATACCCCCAAGGGGATAAAATAGGAGATGAAAGTTTGTATGAAACTTTGTCAATTTTAAACAGATCGGGCTGAGACTTTGCACGCATAAAGCTACTATGACGTAGGCATCCCCTAAGAAAGGATTTAATAAATTTCACAGGGGATAAATTAACACGAGCGAAGCCGCGGGCAAAAGCTAGTTTATTATAAAATAACAAGAAAGTAAATAAAAATATACTTTCGAAAATATATAGATATATATAAAGAGATACAAAACGCTAGCTACAAATTTATAAAATAAAAAGAAAGAAGATGTTTCGTATAGGAAAAGTTGTTTTAAATATCAAAACTGCAAAGTAAGAAAGTGTACTTATTCTAAGAGCGATAAATCATTAATTTGCTATCATATCAAATATATGCGTTACATTACTCAAGCTACGAGTGGGAATTACTCCATTATTATAATACTCAAGAGTAAATGATATGCAAAATATAATATGAAATACGCTAAAGTCTTAAGGTGTTGGAATATCAAATATAATTTAATAATACGGAGTTAAACATAAATGGAGATCGTTTCATGGCTGAGAAATATATATTAAAATACACGCGCTATATTACTTTCATTGGCATTTGTCTGCTTATATTACTGTTAATGATATTCATAAGTAATATAATATTAAATTATCACGTAATATAGACTCTAAGGATATGTTAAGAAAAATACAATGAAAGTTAAGAATACAAATAGAATACTTAAATCTCTATTTACTTTGACATGACGTACAATACATAAATATGCATTGTTCACTTATATGATCTGGTGGTTTACCACATCGCTATATTTTCGATGGTCGCAGGTTCGATTTCTCGCATGGTAGAAATATTTGTATTCACGATTATGATTGTTTGTATTAGTTTGGGTGTTATCTATGAATATTACGTACGTATTTACAATGAAAATGTATTTAAGTATTCTATCAGTTGTTTAGTACCCACAACACAAGCTTTGCTTAACTTCGGACAAGATGGCACTGTTAAGGAAAGCATATGTAATATAAAATTTGCTTTATCAATTACCACTGAATGTGAATTACGGCTAAGAGAAATGACAATGAAAATTTAAATGCGCTTTCAAATCTTCCTTGTCTAAGAATACAAAATTTAGAATACTGAAATCTCCATTTACTTAGACATAAAATACATAAATGTGATAAATATGCATTTATTAAATTAAAAATACTTACACCAGCTAATGCACATAGCGCTCCAACAAACATGCCCACGTAGGTCTTCGGCGCCATATCCCCGTAACCTACAGTAGTCATGGTAACCAACGCCCACCACAGTCCTAATGGTATACTGTTAAAGTCATTATGAGGATTGGTCTGTATCCTCTCAGCGTAATACACCAAACTGGCGAATATAACAATACCGAGCACTAAGAAAAACACCAGTAGAGTCAATTCTTTGGCTGACGCTCTGAACGTCTGAATAAGAATCTTCAGACCAGACGAATGTCTCGTTAGCTTGAAAAGCCTCATTATCCTAATGATTGAAAAGAATTCTAAGATGTCTGCGTTCTCCACGTGAGACGCGTACTTTTGAAGTATTAAATCGATATAGAAACTCATTGTAGCTATATAATCGATGATGTTGACTGAGGACTTAATGAATTCGCACTTATTTGGCGATGATATGAATCTCACTAAGATCTCTAATGTGAACCACGCGTTGCACACACATTCAATGTAGAAGAACGCAATGTGAGCGTTTGTTTGTACTTTGTCCAACGCCCAACTCTGCGTTTGGTTCGCCGTCGTCACTGTATAGTTTCTTATCACTGGCACTCTCATATCCGGATGAGTTTTTAAGCAAAACGAGATTATGGACACACATATAAAAAACACTGATATCACCCCGATTATCTGGAAAGAAGAAAAAATTATGTAAAATTATAATTCAAATCAAATCTTAAATCAATTATATAGGACATTATAGTTTTACATTTTAGCGAATTGGGTGTTATTGTCATTTATAGGAAGTACAGTTCATAATTTAATAATTTCGTTTACTTCAGCTACCATTAGAATTTCTGAGACCATAAATATTCGATGAGGAAGTCTGCCCACCACTACTTTCGACTTTCGCCGCAGATTGGTAACGGAACAGTCAATACTAGGCTTCCAAACTCAATTCATTGCCTGATGATGCCTTGTTTAGAGTCGAAACACGTATCGCAATATGGATGTAGATACTGTAACGGCCAGAATTTGATCATCAATACGAAAGGTCCTATTGCTTCCAGTAGCAGTGGTCAGGTTTCCGTACGAAATATTTGTAGTCTCACATGTGCTACCAATAGTTGAATTAAACAAAACTATTAAGCAATACATTTTAGTCGCTCATGAACATCAAATTCATATTTTTTCCCTTCCTAAGAAATTCAACTGAAAGAATTATTTTTTTTAAAAACCAATTTATTAACATACTTATTTAGGTACCTACGTCTAACATTAAATGAAAATCCCGCGCATGAACAACCATTGCCATACACTTTAGTAATTTTGTAAGATTTAAGTTAAAATATAAATACAGTTTTGAATTCAATGTTGAAGCATTGGAAATAATTTACTGTTAACTTGGATATTGTAATCAATTGGTTCATTCACTACTTTAAAGTATGCTAATGGTATTACATGAAGTTCCCAAGTTCATGATTGTCTCAAAACAAAGGAAATCCACTTCGGTCAGAGGACTTTTGATTAACATAAATTTGAATCAAAATGGCCCTTAGGAAACTTTCTCCTAGATTGTTCTACAATATTTTACATTTTATAATGTTAAAGGATTACATTTACTCATTTAACGGTTTTAAAAGACTATTTTCGAACAGAGTGTGTTAATTACAGATTTTTTATTGTCTATTCATGTAAGGGCATATACCTAATTATATTTCTTTTTATAACATAGACAAGTAATTAAAGATTTGATTAATAAAACAGAAATACTACAATTCAATATTTTTTAAATAGTTTAAATAATAGATATGGGACACAGTTACCTAGATACATCAAAATAATAATTGCATTTAATAATGTCTAGTAAGACAAATCCAATATTATGTACTAAGCACTGCTGTGTCTAAACTGTGTCACCCCACCTTACATTTTCCTATTGTCAATTGGTATATAAGATCAATATTTCTATGTACATATTAAGAGCAACACACAAGTTTTTTACTCGTTCTTCTTGTGATAAAACAGCTTTCCGAATGAGCGATAGATTAAAAAAAATGTGATGACTATTCAAAAGTGCTTCAATGTAAGTTTATTTGAATAAATTATATTCTATTCTAATTATTATTTTGATGTATCTAGGTAACTGTGTACTATAATAGATAAATAGATAAGATACGTCTTAGAAAATTATTGATCCATTTTAAAAACAGAACTTTTGTTGTTCTGCATTACATACTTATTAATATATTAATAGGAGAACTTTACACAATAGAATATACAATATTTATTTAAATAAACCTAATAACATTTGAGAATTATCAGCTATCAGTCTCGACTTTGCATGGCTGAACATGTTTTGTACATAATAAACCTTCCTCTAGAATCACTCTATCTATTGCTGTAAACTGCAATAGTTTAAAAGATCTAAGCGAACAGAGAGCGGAAGCGACTTCATTTTATACTAGGTCCAGCTTTCAGAGATTAGCCGGAACAAACAGATCGACAGACAGACAGACAAAAATTGTAAAAAATGTTATTTTGGTATTTTTTTAAAATAAAACATAGCTTAAGAGTATCATATGCTATGTTTTATCTAAAAACATTCAGTGTTTAAATAAAAACAAGTAGAAAAAGTAATATGATGTGATATAACTGTATGATAATCTATTGTTCGATGTCATAACCGTTTAACACGTTGAGTCACCTTTCGATATTGAGGATTCTCTCATTTGTATTCATGAGGTATTCTGTTTGTATTACTCTGGCCTTTTTTTCTTTGTGTCAATACACCGGATGACTTTTATTACCATTTGGAGAAAGGTGAAGAATTGAAGGTCGCGGATTCGATTCCTCGCACAGTACAAAAAATTGTATTCATGAGTATAATTGTTTTTATTAGTCTGGGTGTTTTATAATATATTATGTATGTATTTATATGTATATATATATTTAAGTATTTATATCAGTTGTATAGTACCCGTAATACAAGCTTTGCTTAGCTTAGTTAGGGTTCACATCGATATTGTCGAACAATCTGATATTTTAAAAATATTAAAAGAAGGTAGTTTCTTTATTACTCGGTATCGTTAAACTAGTTGCGTATTACCCCCACTCATATTTTCTCTGTATAAAAGGGAGGGTTTTTGTAAGCCACGATCGATCACCCGTCCAATTCAACGGGGATCGATGTTACGACGGTCTGAGCCGAGGTTCGAAACCCTAGTGGTGCCCTCAGACTAAAGTCGTATCCGTCAGACGGGAGTTGGCCTTCAGCCGCTCCATAAGTCCTTCCGCGGGTTTGAAGTGCCATCTGCACTCGCCCCCTATCGTCCGGTGAAGCTGTAAAGCCAGCTGCGGCCAAAAGCATTAGAGTAGTCCGAAAAAAAAAAAGCCACGGCATTCGGTCTTTCAGCACATGATGTGCTGGTTGTATTTTAAATGCTAAAGTGAATTGTGTTAGAGACATAGTTAAATTAATGCTATATAGTTGTTATTTTATTATATATATATACATAGAGTTGATATATCTTACATTTGTGAATTGATTGTGTGAAGTTACGTAGTATCAGCATTGGTATTAATTTCTCCTTAGGTTAGGACTAAGGAGATAATAATCTAATATAATATCTAATCATGTATGTTATATATAGAGGTTATTAATATTATTGTATAAACACTAACCTTAGCGGCATTAGAACTGTACGGCTCGTCGAACAACGACCACATTTGTGGTTTCAACTGCTGCCACCAAGACACAGTTCCTTTATAATAGTCCTCCTCGAAACCAAACTTCCTCGCTACTTCTTCGTCCGACGGCTTCTCGGTATCCAAGTCCAGGCGGTCCAACACTGCCAGGGTCTCTTGGGTGTCCCGATGCTGGTAACAGAAATATTATTTTAAACTTTTACTATTACTCAATCAGTTGGTCGTGTATTTAATAATTTAGCTAAAGATAGAGAGAAGAAAAAAAGTAGTGCATATTGGTAGTTTGTGTTTACATATATCAAAAGTTTATCTTTTAGGGGTTGAAATAAAATAGGGATGCAAGTTTGTACGGAAATTCGTCATTTTTGAAATTGACATTGAGTACATGATATAAGTTTTTAATGATGTTTTATATATAAAATAATTTGCCTAAATAATTAAAAATCCAATCCGAAGTCACTTTTCTAAGCGGACAAAGTCGCTGGCACAGCTAGTACGTAATATTCGAACATTATATAATGTTATTTATATATAAAAATTCGATATTATAATTTTTATTCTGTCTCAAATGTTTGGTGTACAACAACGACATTTAATTCGTTATCAGACCTCCGCCGTGCATTACCGCAAAATTTTCCATTACGTATTCCAAGTACCTATTGTATTGGCGAAAAATTAAATTTTGAGAGAATTCTCAACCGACGAACATAACCGCAAATTCACAAAAGAATCTGGGTCATCGGAAACAAAAAGATCTTTATTATTGATTTTATATTAAACTATGTAGCTACTCGCCCCGTTTTGTTTATAATTGTAACCCATATTCCGTTGGGTTACAATTGTAAATTGCGTTGGATTAAATCATCATCATCTGCTTCTTCCTTATCCCATTTATTTGGGGTCGGCGTAATATGTTTTTCGCTTCCATTCATCCCTGTTCGCAGTCATCGCGTTATTTACTTCATTTCTTACCATATCATCTTTCACACAGTCCATCCATCTGTTTTTCGGCCTTCCTCTGTCCTTATAACCATCCACATTTATATATAATACCTTTCTTAAAATATTATCCTCATTCCTACGCATTACATGTCCACGCGTTAGATTAAATCTTAACTAGAAATATATAACTGATATTTCTATGGATGTATATTTAAATCTCTAAACTCTTCTTGTTTTTTTTTTATTTATTAACACACTTTATTGCTCCATATACCGAAAATACTTTTTTAATAAATATGGAATAGTGTCATTGCGTTTGGCCAAGGATGTTGCGGCCTCTTTGACAGGATTGCTTGCTGGCCGGTTATAAGACGTGACTAAGACTGACGAAAGAATTGACAAATAGAGACGACAAGAAAAGAGACGGACAATTACATAGAAATTTGAATAATTATATTTTACATTTAAAACAAACTCTCTTCTTTCATTACGACGACATTTTTTAACGGTTGGCCGAACAGCAGGCCGTTCAAGGCATCACACGTAAATGACTGGATCGATTCCGTTAATTCTTCCTTGTTGTGTTTGTTATTAGTCAGGAGGTTGTTACGAAAGAAAAAATTAAGAAAGATGTGCGGCTTTTTATATTTATTAATTACTAACTACTCGCCCCGGCTTCGCACGGGTGTACATGTATTATATATATAAACCTTCCTCTTGAATCACTCTATCTATTAGGGATAAGGAAGAAGCAGATGACGATGATGATGATGATATCAAATATATCCAATAACTGTTACACTTCCTTCTTTCTATAAAAAGAACAAACAATCTACAATTATGAATAGTAAATGCAATCTCTAAAATTAAAGTGGTTAGCATAAAATTTAATTTGCTTTTTCCCTGTGCTTTATGGCAAAATATAAAATGCAGTAAATGTACGTTAAATTTTTGCAGCTTCAGCAATAAAACGAAACTTCCTCTGGGTTTATTTATTTTAAAGGTAGTTTTAAAACTTGAATAAATAATAGTTTAAATGTACAAAGTAAAGTTATTAGTATTTAAAAATAACTGTGTAATGGTAAGAATAATTAATGACTCGGAAATGAACTTAGTTTTGTATGTATAACTGAAAAACTTTTCTTATGAAATATGCAGCAAAATCCTAATAATTGAAATATTTATTTGGTGTACAAAAATATTTAAAAAACAAAATTTATAAAAAAAATAGATACATACATCAAGAAATATATACAAACTAGCTTTTGCTCGCGACTTCGCTCGTATTAAGTTATCCCCTTAGGGGTGGAATTTATCAAAATCCTTTTTTAGAGGATGCTTACGTCATAAGTAGCTTTATGCTTGCAAAGTCTCAGCCCGATGGGTTTAAAATTGTCAAAGTTTCATACAAATCTTCACCCCCTATTTTATCTCCTTGGAGGTAGAATTAATCAAAATCCTTTCTTAGCGGATGGCTACGTCATAACATCTACCTGCATGCCAAATTTCAGCCCGATCCATCCAGTGGTTTGGGTTGTGTGTTGATAGATCACTATGTCAGTCACCTTTGAGTTATATATATTTAGATGCACAGGCGGGCTTTTTCCAAATGGAATAGTCATTCTTCTAGTCAACATTGCTATTATTTCAAAGAAGTTCATGACTTTTACAATTATCACTGTTGAAAATAGTAAAGTTATTGACAATAGGCTTCCACGATGTATTATGGTCTGGTGTTTTTATCCGAGGGGTTTTTATATCAGGGGCAGAAGCAAGGCTGAACCGATCATCATCATGAGAAACGCGAAATTTATACCAAAGAAATTAGTGGAAAACCGTGGGAAGTGAAAAGATCTCCAGCGACAAGGGAACATGATTCTTAAATTATGAATGAACGAATGAACGCAGAGTATTACCAGCCCACGGCTACTTCAGCTTGCAAATTCGTTTAACTATGTTCTCTGTAACTTTGTACTTCAAATTACTTCGGCTTTGATTTGATCCTATAGAGGAATTTCAACATAGCTCTTTCCTCAACTCGCTGCGTGAATTTAAGTTCATGCAATCGTTATATTGTGAATACACTTCTATCGTATTCTGTAACTGATACAATGCATTGATTAAAAACTTTTGCTTTAAAGTCTTAGCAAAGGTAGCAAATTCGTTAAACATTGACGATAATTTTAATTCTCAGGCGAATTATTTCAATCTTGGATTTTATATTTTAGCGCAATTTGATATAGCTCTGCGCACTGCTAGCTTCATTGGAGGAATAGTTGTATTGTAGGAGAAAACAGTTTGATAAGGTATAACTTAATAGGTCAGATATATTGTTAAAATACATATTCTGTCATCATCATCATCATCATTTCAGCCCGGAAGACGTCAACTGCTGAACAAAGCGCTCCCTCAAAAATCTCCACGGCGATCGGTCCAGCGCTGCTTGCAATCAACGTATTCTATATTGGGAACTTATCATTTTTATTAGATACTAGCTGACCCGACAGACGTTGTCCTATCTTAACTTTGTCGTATTATATGAATGTTGAAATGGCATTAGTATCATTACATAGTATAAAACAAAGTCGCTATCGTTGTCTGTCCGTCCCCTATGTATGCTTAAATCTTTAAAAGTACGCAACGGATTTTGATGTGGTTTTTTAATAGATAGAGTGATTCAGGAGGAAGGTTTATATATATAATACATATACACCTGTGCGAAGCCGGGGCAAGTAGCTAGTAATTCATAAATATAAAAATCCGCGCATCTGTCTTACTTTCTTCTTTTATAACAACCTCTTGACTAATAACAAACACAACAAGAAAAGAATTAACGGAATCGGTTCGACCATTTACACATATAGCCGTAAACAATTCCAGATTCATTAAAAAAAAGTATTTTCGGTATATGGAGCAATAAAGTGTGTTAAAAATTAAAAAAAATGAGAAGAGTTCAGAGATTTCAATACACATCCATAGAAATATCAGTTATACATTTCTAGTTAAGATTTAATCCAACGCAATTTATAATTGTAACCCAACGGAATATGAAACGGGCGCTGTAAAAGCAGAAAAGAAACACTAGGAACTCTAGAATATAAATGAAATGCTGAATTAAAAATAGAAATGAAAAAAAGTGAACGAGCGAAATGAATGAAAGAGCTCGTCGAGGTAAGAGTATTGTGTATCTAGGTAAAACAATTAACCTACACTCGAGTGTAGGTAAATCGGTTTTAAGGTTTAGAATTTATTTCAATTCACACAGCGTCCTAAAGTCCTATCCGTCACGCGCAGTTGGGCTTCAGCCATTCCATAACTTCTTCCGCAGGTTTGGAGTTCCATCTGTATCGTGCGGTGAAGTTGTAAAGGCCAGCTGCGGCCAACAGCATTGTAGTAGTCCGAAAAAAGAAAAAAAACAGCGCCATCTAGGCCCAAGCTTTGCGGAGCTAGTGCACTACAACTGATATACGTAGATGCATTTTTTTGTAAATACTTGCATAATATATAGAAAACACCCAAAACGACACAAAAATCCTCAAGGAACCCGCGATCATCGGAAGTACAGTATGCTATACCGCTAGACCACTGAAAGTTATAAAAGGTGGAAGATATCTATACCGCATTTGTATGAGTATAGTTTGTAATAATAAAAAAAAATATTAAGCGACTCCTCTATCATTATCTACTTCTTCCTTATCCCATTTATTTGAAGTCGGTACAATATGTTTTTTTCATCTATATGTTTCATTCACCCCTATTCATAAACATATACAAACGCATAACAGTGTTGTAAAATAATACATAGAACGTAGTAGTATAATATGAATGTGGATGGATGTAATAGGAGGGGACGCCCTAAGAAAAGATGGATGGATTGTGTGAAAGATGATATGAATAAAAGAAGAGTATGTTCAGATATGACGACCGATAGAGAGCAGTGGAAGAGAATGACATACTGCGCCGATCCCAAATATGGGGATAAAGACAAGGCAATAATGAATACATAGAACGTAGTAGATAAACCAAAAGTCTACAGAAATAAAGCACGTAATCCAATATAGAAGCGAATCGATAAAATGTTTCTGGAAGATCTATAAGGGTCTAAGAAATCATTACTGCCAGATAAAATGTCAGACAATAAAAACCAAGTTTATAGTAAGTAAGCACATAAACGCAATATTGCTTGTATTGGTTTTATGTACTTAACTATAGAGGCTGCGGAATGGCCT